TTTTGTTTTGTTTTGTTTTGTTTTGTTTTGACATCTATTGCTGGGCATGCAGCCTACCTTTAAGAGTAGTTTGTTTTCCAGGCAAGACTCCTTTGGAGAAAACTAAATATCCATTTCAGGGTGGTTATCAATTGAAGATAGGTTCTGGGTTAGGGGTGGAGGTCTGTATCCACTTCTTCCAACTCTAGGACCACATCTGATGCAGGTCCTGTGCATGCAGCCTCAGTCTCTGCGAGCTCATATGTGCATCAATCTTGTTGATTAGAGGGCCTGTTTCCTTCATGTCCCCCATGCCCTTTCTCTCTTACACTCTTTCTGCCTTGTCTTCCATGAGCTAAAAAGGGAGCGATTTAATGAATACATCCCATTTAGGGCTGAGTGTTCCAAGGGTTTTTCACTCTCTGCATAATATCTAGCTGTGGCTTTCCATATTTATTCCCATCTGCTGCAGGGGGTAGTTTCTCTGGTGATTGCTATCCTCAAGCTAACAGAGATCTACCTACCTCTGATTCTCCTGTGCTAGAATTAAAGGCATGTGCCACCATGCTCAGCTCTTCTTCTTCTTCTTCTTCTTCTTCTTCTTCTTCTTCTTCTTCTTCTTCTTCTTCTTCTTCCTCTTCTTGAAGATAGTTTCTTTTCTTTTGAAAAATTTATAGAATATATTTTGATCATATTCTTTCCATTTCCCGAACTCATCCCATATCCTCTTCCTTCCTACATACCCAATTTCATGCCCCCTTTCAACAAACAAACAAAACAAAAAATGTACCAAGGAAAATGGAGTCCATTTTGTTGGTCCTCTGTTCCTGAGCATGAGATCTGCTCAGGGGTGTGGTTGTTGATACTATATCTGATGTCACTCCAAGGGAAAAAACTGACTTTTCCTCTAGCAATATGTGTCAGTTTCGAATAGCTCATTGGCTACAGGCGGAACTTTATGTCCACTTCCAATTATCCATTCTGAGAATTTTTTCTGGCTTGTGCTTGTGCCAATTTTGTGTACTGTGAGTTCATATGTGCACCAAACACATGGTAGATGACTCCAAGGCAACAGAATTTTCTAGACACAACAACCTTCTATTGATATATCTTTGACACTTCCAGCACCTCAGTATATACTAAGTATGATCATAGCCAGAAGACTACCCACAGTGAACAGTGAACAATAGACACTGAGGGCAGCCAAGTGTGTGTGTGTTTGTGTGTGTGTGTGTGTGTGTGTGTGTGTGTGGAGAGAGAGAGATAGAGAGAGAGAGAGAGAGAGAGAGAGCAGCTGCCATAGTGGTGACTTTGAAAGGAAACATAGAGAAGTATCTAGTCAGACATCTATACTTACAACTCAGGAAAAGACAATGTCCTGGAATATGGTACCATAATGATTACATCATGATCATTCATTTTTTCTTTTTTATTAGAAAAAATATTTTACATGTCAATCCCAGGCCCCTCTTCCTCCCTTCCTCCACTGCTCCCCATCCCAAATAACACCCTACCTATCCCATACCCTTTCTGATCCCCAGGGAATATGAGGCCTTCCATAGGGGCTCTTCAAAGTCTGTCATATTCTTTGGGATAGGCCTAGGCCCACCCCTTTGTGTCTAGGCTCAGGGAGTATCCCTCCATGTGGGATGAGCTCCCAAAGTCCATTCCTATGCTAGAGATAAGTACTGATCCACTACAAGAGGCCCCATAGATTTCCAAGGTCTCCTCACTGACACCCACGTTCGTGGGGTCTAGATCAGTCCCATGCTGGTTTCCCAGCTATCAGTCTGGGGACCAAGAGCTCTCCCTTGTTTAGGACAGCTGTTTCTGTGGGTTTCACCAGCCTGGTATGGACCACTTTGCTCATCAGTCCTCCTCTGCATCTGGATTTCAGTTAAGTTCAAGGTTTAGCTGTTGGAGTCTGCTTCTACTTCCACCAGCTGCTGGATGAAGGCTATAATATGGCATATGGATTAGTCATCAATCTCATTATCAGGAGAGGGCATTTAAGGTAGGCTCTCCTCTGTTGCTTAGATTGTTAGTTGGTGTCATCTCTGTAGCTCTCCAGACATTCCCCTAGTGCCTGATTTCTCTGTAGACCTATAATGTCTCCTCTATTATATTATATCTTATCTTGTTGTCTTCTATTCTTCCCCCAATACAACCTCTCTGCCCTATCATATCTTCCTCACCCCTCTTCTTCACCCCTTCTCATTCTCCTAGTTCCCTCTCCCTTCCCTCAGGCTCCCATTTTGCTCAGGAGATCTTGTCCCTTTCCCCTTCTCCAGGGGACCATGTTTGTCTCTCTTAGGGTCCTCCTTTTTCACCAGCCTCTATGGCAGCATGGACTGCAGGCTGGCAATCCTTTATTCTATGTCTAAAATCCACATATGAATGAATGTATACCATGCCTGTCTTTTTGTGACTGGGTTACCTTGCTCAGAATGGTTTCTTCTAGTTCCATCCATTTGCCTGAGAATTTCAAGATTCCATTGCTTTTTATTTCCACTGAGTAGTACTCCATTGTGTAAATGCACCACATTTTCTCTATCCATTCTTCAGTTGAGGGGCATCTAGGTTGTTTCCAAGTTCTGGATCATCTCACTAGATGCTGAAAAAGCCTTTGACAAAATCCAACACACCTTCATGATAAAGGTCCCAGAGAGATCAGGAATAACAGGAACATACCTGAACATAATAAAAACAATATACAGTAAGCCAACAGCCAACATCAAACTAAATGTGGAGAAACTCAAAGCTATTCCTCTAAAATCAGAACAAGACAAGGCTGTCCACTCTCTCCATATCTCTTCAATATTGTCCTTGAAGTTCTAGCTAGAGCAATAAGACAACAAAAGGAGATCAAGGGGATACAAATTGGAAAGGATGAAGTCAAGCTTTCACTGTTTGCAGATGATATGATAGTCTACATAAGTGAACTGAAAAACTCTACCAGGGAACTCCTACAGCCCTACAGCTGATAAACACCTTCAGCAAAGTGACAGGATACAAGATTAACTCAAAAAAAATCAGTGGCCCTACTATATATGGATGATAAATGTGCTGAGAAAAAATCAGAGAAATATCACCCTTTACAATTGCCACAAACAACATAAAATAACTTGGGGTAACGCTAATAAAAAAAAGTGAATGACCTGTATCATAAGAATTTTGAGTCTTTAAAGAAAGAAATTAAAGAAGATATCAGAAAATGGGAGCATCTCCCATGTTCTTGGATAGGTAGGATCAACATAGTAAAAATGGCTATTTTCCCAAAAGAAATCTACAAATTCAATGCAATTCCCATCAACATCCCATCACAATTCTTCACAGACCTTGAAAAACCAATTCTCAACTTTATATGGAAAAACAAGAGACCCAGGAAAGCCAAAACAACCCTGTAAAACAAAAGAACTTCCAGCGGCATCTCCATCCCTGATTTCAAGCTCTATTATACAGCTATAGTCCTGAAAATAGCTTGGTATTGGCACAAAAAATAGACTGGTAGAGCAATGTAATCGAGTTGAAAACCCTTATAATAACCCGCACACCTATGAACACTTGTTTTTTGACAAAGAAGCTAAAGCTATACAATGGAATAAAGACAGAATCATCAACAAATGGTATAACTGGATGCTGGCATGTAGAAGACTGCAGATAGATACATGTCTTTCTCACTGCACAAAACTTAAGTCCAAATGGATCAAAGACCTCAACATAAACCCAGCCACACTGAGCTTATTAGAAGAGAAAGTAGGAAATACACTTGAACAAATTGGTACAGTAGAACACTTCCTGAACATAATACCAGTAGCATAGACACTGAGATCCACAATTAATAAATGGGAGATCCTGAAACTGAGAAGCTTCTGTAAGGCAAAGGACACAATCAGCAAGAC